CCCCCCCACACTTAGCCCTTGTATAGCAGCACCCAGCCCAACTGCCTCCCAGCCACCCCCCCACTTAGCCCTCCTATGGTGGTACCCAGCCCTCCCTGTCCAACTGCCTCCCACCCCCCCCCACTTAGCCCTCCTATGGTGGTGCCCAGCCCCCCTTAGCCCTCCAATGGTATTGCCCAGCCATCCCTGTCCACCTGCCTCCCAGCACCCCCCCCGTTAGCCCTCCTATGGTGGTGCCCAACCCTTCCTGTCCGAGGGCCCTCCCTCAGGCTCCTTGGCTTACTCCACCTCCATTCTCTGCCTCCTGCCTGGCCTGCTCCTCTCTCTCTTCCTAGGACTTCTATTTCCTCCACTTATCCCCTCCCTTTTCCACCTTCCAGCCCCAAGCTTCTACTTTTCTCTCAGCTTCTCCTTCTTCTTCCCCTCCCACTCACCCCTCCCCTCAAGGTCCTGTCATGCTTCCGCCATCTTTCTGCCACCCTAATTCCTGGGCTTTCACATGTTTCCTGTTTTTATCCTTGGTTGCTTCCTCTGGCCTCCCAGGTCCTTCAAAATGTAGAACACTCATGAGTTTTCTACTTCTCCTGGCTGGTGGTATGGATTTGCCACACGGGGCATTTAGTCAAGTTTCAGGAAATCTGTGCCCTGGTCGTCTTTTCCTCCCCTCCCCTCCTTCCTGGACCGAGTGCTTTTTCAGTTTGTAGTCCAGGCTAGCCTTGAAATGGCATCTTTACAGATGTAGGTCTCTGGCCTCAGCTTTTTATTTTTTTTTTTAATTTGGGAGACTTTTTCTCCTGTAGCCTAGGCTGGTATTTGCCTTCTCGGGTGATCTTCCAGTGTTATCTTGCTTCACTGTGGGTTTTTGTTTCTTTGCATTTATTTATTTGTTTATTTATTTATTTATTTAAGGTCTCTCAGGAGCAGACTGGCCTTGAGGCCTTGATTGCTGGGAAGACAGGCAGAAAGGCACACTCTGCGATGAATGACCTTTAAAAGAAATTATTTTTTTGAGATTTGGTTTTGCTGAGTAGCTCAGGCTGACTTCCAACAACAGCATACCATCCTAGTGTTTCAAGCTTGTAGAATGTTGGGATTGCAGGGTATGAAATTGTATGTCCCATTTGTTTGTTTATTTTTTAAGAGAAAGTCTGTTTTCAACAGAGTCTGGTGTCCAACACAAAATCTATTTGCCTCTGCCTCTCATATGCTGGGATTATAGGGTGTGCCACAGCACTAGACTCATGTTTCTTTTTCATTTATTTATTTATTTATTTACTTACTTATTTATTTAATTTATTATTTTATCATCATCATCATCATCATCATCATCATAATTTATTTTGGTTTTTCAAGACAGGGTTTGCTCACTCTGTAGACCAGATTGACTTCAAACTCACAGAGATCCTCCTGCCTCTGCCTCCCACGTTCTGGGATAAAAGGTGTGCACCACCACGGCCCAACACTTTTTATTTTGTAAACAACTGTGATTAACTCAACTTTGTGCACCTTTCTTATTTTAACAACAGAGCTTGAAGGTTATTTTATGTTGTGGCGTAGAGTATAGCCCTCCAGTTTCTTTCTCCTGCATTTTATCTTCCTTCTCGTTTTTTATCCCTCCCTCTCTCCCTTTCCCCTTCTTTCTTTTTTAAAAAAATATTTATTATGTATACAATATATGCATGTATGCTTGGATGCCAGAAGAAGACACCAGAACTCACTATTGACGGTTGTGAACCACCATGTGGTTGCTGGGAATTGAACTCAGGACCTCTGGAAGAGCAGCCAGTGCTCTTAACCTCTGAGCCATTGGCCTTCCCCATCTCATTTTTCTTTGCTCTGTTGTTTCATTTTCAATGCCCCCTTCTTCTGTTTCTCTTTTTCTTGTGCCCGCACTTATTCTTTTTATGCATTTCTGTGTCCTACCCTATTTTATTATTTCTGGCTCCTTTTTTCCTTTTGTTGTCTTCCTCTTGTAGTTTCACTCAGTGCCTCATTTTCTTTCAGTTTCTGTTTCAGATTGTTTTTCTCTGCATCTCTCATTCTCAGCTGCTCCCTTTCCCTTTCTCTCTTCTGTTCTATTCTTTTGTCTTTCCTTCTCTTTTTCACCTTCTTTTCCACTGCATTTATTTCTCATTCAATCCTTTCCTTTTATCTTCCCCCTTTCTCTCTTTGTTTTTCTTCCTATCCATTTTCCTCCCCTTTCACTCCTGTTTTCTTCTTTCTCTGTCATGCTGTCTTGCTTCTCTGTTTCATCCTTTCTTTTGAATTGTCTTTGTGTTTCTTTGTCGTTCTTACTCTTTCCTTTGTGTTTTCTTCTTTGAAACTTTTATTATTTTGTGTTTGTCTGAGCCAGGGCCTCATGTATCCCAGACTGACATCAAACTTGCAGTGTAGCCCAGGATGACGTTGGACTCTCACCCTCCAGCCCCTACCTCCTAAGTGATGAGTATAGGTATACTCTGGCCTCTTCTGCCTTTCTTCCACTTTCACGTTATTCTGTTCCTGTCTTTATTCCTCCTTCTTTTCCGCTTTTTTCTTTTGTCTTTCTTACTTCTCCTTTTCATTTTGTATTTCACCTTTCTTTTTTCTCTCTCACTCTCCATTTCTGTCTTGTTTCTGTATTTTCATTTTTTCTGTTTCTTTTCTTTTCCCATTCACCCACTCTTTCTTTTTTCTTCCATTACTTTGTCTTCTCTATTTCTGTCTTTTGTTTCCTTCCTTCCCCTCCTAACTATCACATTTCTTTCCTTTCCCCTTCCTTTTCTCCCTACCCTCTGCCTCCTTTCTTCCCCTCCCTCTTCCCTTCCCCTTTCCAGGTTTCTTTCACCTCCCCCCTCATCACTTCTTCCACCCTCTGTTGTCTCTCATCCCCTTTCTCTCTTTCCCCCTCCCCCTTTTTTTCTAGCCACAGTTTCTGTGTGTAACAGCCCTGGCTGTCCCAAAACTCGATCTGTAGAGCAGGCTGGCCACAAACTCACAGAGGACCGCCTGCCTCTGCTTCCCCAGTGCTGGGTGTGCACTACCACCACCCTTCTCTTATATGTCTTTCCTCTTTTTCTTTTTTTCCTTTCCTTTTCCTGTCTTGTTATGTAGCTGAGTCTGGCCTGGCACTTACTGTGAAGACCAGGCTGGCATAGAATTAACTCATGGGTAATCTTCCTCCTTGTTTCTTTAACCCTTTCCTTCTTTCTTTGCATTTCTCTCTTGCTTCTCTTCCTCTGTTCTTTATTTTCTTCTTTTCCCTTTCTATCGTGTCTTTCATTCTCTTTCTTCCTTTACCATGGTCTTTCACTCCCCCTCCTTTTTTTACCTGATTATCCCCCACTTCTTTTTTATTTCAATTTCTCTGTTTTTACTCTCTCAATGATAACTCAAGTTTTAAGAGATCCAACTCCCTCTTCTGGCCTCCTTGGACACTGAATACTGTGGTGCAAAACACACATATATGTAAAATAATAAAATTTTAAATGTTTCAAAAAGATGGTCAGAGAATTTGATGAGTGTGTTTTTCTGAGGAGAGAAGCAAGTGCTTTTATCATATTCTGAAAAAGTTTTCTTCATTTTTTTAAATGTTAAGCATAGTAGAGGCTGGGTTTGGTGGTTCACACCTTTAGTTCCAGTACTTGGGGGCAGAGACAAGCAGATCTCTGTGAGTTCTAGGCAAGCCTGGTCTACAAAGTGAGTTCCAGGACAGTCAGAGCTAGGGAGATCCTGTCTCACCCCCTCCCCTAAAAAAGAATGATAGAAATACTAACTTTATTCATTCAGAGAAACCAATTGTCTTAGTTGGGCTCCTATTGCTGTGATAAAATACTATGGACATGAACAGCTTCAGGAGGAATTTATAACTGTACATTTGTAAACTGATGTTAGCAGCAATAGGACAGATTGCTCCTTAGTTGTTTTATCATGTGTTTTGGAAACACTAGCTCATTGTATTATTAATGAATTTTTTCTTTCTTTAAGCCGTCGATACAAGTATATGCTGATAAACTATACTCAGTGGAAAATATGGCAACCTATGACTATGATAGGTAAGTATAGCATATAAGTTAAAAACACCTTCAGAGTTGTAGCTTGATTTTAAAACAGGAAAAGGTTTGTGTAGAACTTTTTAGTGAATAATGGTGTCTCGTTTAGTATGGTTTGTTTTTTCATGATCAGCTTCAGTATGACTTCACATCTGGAAAAAGGAATTATCTATATAATAGAAAAATTTGTTTTTTTAAAATTGTCATTTCCTGTGTTAAGAAAAGGCAAGAGCTTCAAAAAAGAGCCTTTAAGTAACGCATTTAGCAATTACATACTCTACTAAGAGATGTATAGTGAGGTACATAGTTCATAAGTTCTAGGTCATAGTTTTATTCACAGTTGAATGAAGCAAAGAAATATAAAGGAAAAGAAACATGAATGTGGCTGCTCCTAGGTATGGTGGCCAAGGCTATGTGGAAGAGCATGGGCAGAAGGAGAGACAGGGCCATCTGAGGAAGTTCAGAGTGGACAGAAGCTGACTGAGCAGTCCCATGTGGGAAGAGGGGGGCAAGGAAGAGGAAGTGCTTTATTTATCAAGCAATAAGACAATCATATACACAAAGGACCTCCCCCATCAAGGAAGAAGTGGGAGAGGAGAGAGGAGCAAAGAGGACCAGGTGCAGCAGCCAGGAGGCCCAAAGAGAGAGAGCAGACAATGAAAATGGCTGGGTGATATAGGGAAGAGCCACCCAGCCTCTGGGCTGGAGAGTTCAGTGGGGCTGGGAGTATGTCAGCCAATAGGGCCCTGTAACAGGTAGGGACTGAGGGATGCAGTGACAACCTCACAGCCAGTGTCCACTTTGCTATGTTAAATAGGCACCTCAGCCATTTGTCCAAGGTTTGAAACCTAACAGCAGTCTTGTTAACAATGGAGAGGATACATGAAGACTGATTTTTTGCCAAATTTTAAAAAATCTTACTTGAACTTCCTCTTTCTTAGCTTTGACTTCTGCCAAGATGCTTTGAAGAAATCACCCTCGGAAAATCTTGGAAAAATCATATCTGGAGAACAAACAATGTCATGTCCTTACAAGGTTATTCTGCTGATCTTTTTTAGTATATCTCAGTTTTGAAAGAACATTCTCAAAACTATTTAAAATTGAATCAATTGACCTCTTAAAATCACTAATATATGACTTTAGGAGTCAAAATTAATGATAAAGAATGATGCTGTAGTAGTTTGTGGGAACAAATTGTATTTAACCTTAACACTATAGTATGGGAAGATAAGTTCTTGTGTTGTAAAAGGATGTTGTGTGTATGACTACCGTAGTAAAATTAAAAACTGAATCTGAGAGGAGACAGAGTTGAGAATGATAATTTTGTCTTTGAAGGGAAAAATGTACTTGTAATTTAAGTTACTTATTTGGTGACATTATCGAATTCAGTCAAATTTCTTACTGTTTTCACTTTTTGTAGTTTTCTTTTAACAAAGAAGAAACATGTAGAAAAGTTTGTGTAAAATCTTATGCTCCAGAAGATGAAGATCAAATGAGGAGGTTGGCGTTTCTGAAGGGAGGAATAAAACAGAATTACTATCATCGCTGGTAGGTTTGGTATCTTCTTTTTTACTCTTTCTAAAAGTAATTTTAATAGACATATAAATTATGTTCTATTTTGTGATTTGAGTTTGATTAAAATTGAACTTAAATATATGTAAGATAACATTTATGTTGCTCAATATGAAGTGCTTGTTAAACCCCTTATGTGAAACATGTTTTTATGTAGGGTTATTGATAGCACCAGAGTGATATGGTGTTATGACAAAGAAGACAAAAGCCCCTATTGCACATTAGGATTTCCAATAGGATGCTTCAAAGACCCAAATAGCCAACTGAAAATTCCTTGCCTGAATAATGTAAGTATTGCCAACTTACAATGGGAGTACAAGGATGTTGCTTCATTTATGTTTTGTTTTATATTTTACTCATTTAGAAAACATTCATGGGACACTATCTAGGCTGTGTTTGGAGATACAAGAACAAATTTACTTTGTCTCTTTTCTATGTTCTGTTTCTGTCTTTTTAAATTTATATTCTGAAGCAGAGGAAATAGACTTGTAAAGAAATCAATGCAACAGTTTGTTATATATAGGGAATTGGGGTCAGTGGAGGCAGACAAAAGGAAGGGTAAGCATTTGTAGTCAAGAAATCAATGTGATCAAAATTTGCAAGTGTGAAATAGAATACTGTAATTGGGAGTCTATGAGTAGCTGAACATGAGTCTGTGGCATATGCTTAAGACTAACAGCTACATAAATAAATAAAAATGAGTTAAGCAGAAGCCAGCCATATGCTAAGGAAAATGTAACTGAATGCCAGTTATTGTGCCATCAGTATTGCTGGTTATGTCCCATGTGGTGATTAATTCTCAGAACAGTTACACTGCTAGAGCCTAGAACTGCAGTTCTACAGATGAGGCAGCTGAATTTCAGATAAGACTTTGGCTTGACTAGGATCATAACAGTTGCAAAGTGGCAGCGGTTAGACCTGAACTCAGACCTTTTAATTTTTGATTTTTGATTTTTTTTGAGACAGGGCTTCTCTGTGTATCCCTGGCTGTCCTGGAACTCACTCTGGAGACCAGGCTGACCTCGGACCCACAGAGATCCGCCTGCCTCTGCCTCCTGAGTGCTGGGATTAAAGGTGAGTGCCACCACTGCCTGGCTATTCTTTTGACATGACAAAATAAAATTAATAAAGTAGAAGAAACCCCATCACATTGAGGCTAGACAAGGCAACCTAACAGAGGGAAAAGAGCCCAAAGAACAGGCACAAGAAGCAGATACACATTCATTCACACACTCAGGAGTCTTATAAAAATACTAAGCTGAAAGCTATGGTATAGTCAGAGGACCTGGTGCAAACCCATAGTAGGCCCAATGCTCACTGCTTTAGTCTCTGAGTTCGTATGAACCTTGCTTAGTTGATTCAGAGTACTCTGTTCTCCTGATGTCTTCCATCCCCTCTGGTTCTTACATTCTTTCTACCTCCTCTTCCATGGGGTTCCCTGAACTCTGAAGGGGAGGGATTTGATGGAAGCATCCCATTTAGAGCTGTGTGTTTCAAGGTCTCTCTCTGAGTAGTGTCTGCCTGTGGGTCTCTGCATTTGTTCTCATCTGCCACAGAAAGAAGCTTCTCTGATGATGACTAAGCAAGACACTGATCTATGAGTGTAGCAGAATACCATTAGGGGTCATTTTATTGATTTCCTTTAGACTAGTAGCTTTGGTTTTACTCTAGGTCTCTGGGCCATCTAGTCTTAGGTTCTTGGTCACCCAAGCAGTCTTGGGTATGGGTTCCATCTCCTGGAGTGGGCCCTTAAGTCAAGTCAGGCATTGGTTGACTACTTCCATAAATTCTGTGCTACCATTGCCCTTACATATCTTGCAGGCAGGACAGGTTGTAGGTCAAAGTTTTTATGTCTGGGTTGGTGTTTATGTTTCTCTTTTGGTAGCCTGCAGTGTGCTAATACAATTTAACGAAATACCCAAGTCTAACAATTTAAAAGTAAGATTCTTTTTCATTTTTAAGATGTGTATTAAAAACAGCAGAGCAGTGTAACAAGCTAGAAGGAGACCTAGGTACTCATGGGAATGTAGATTTATCATAAAGGCAATATATCAGATCAACAAAGAAAGTTTGATAAATAGTATTTGTTCAAAAAAGTCTTTGAGAAATTCTGTAGGTTGTCTCCATCAAAATCCTTGTACTCACTGGGCTTGTTGGTGCATGCCTTTAATCCCAGGAGTTGGCAGACTGAAGTAGGTAGATCTCTGTGAGTTTCAAGGCCAGCCTGGTCTACAGAGAGTTCTAGGATAGCCAGACCTGTTTGTAACAGAGAAACCCTGTCTAGAAAAAACAAAAAAAGAACAAAACCAAAACCATACCAACCAACCAAACAAACAAACAAAAAACCTCACAAAAAATCCTTGTACTCAAATGATGTTCAAGTGACTAGAACTTGACTTTGTTGTTTGTTTGAGACAGGGTCTCATGTATCCCTGACTGTCCTTCAACTCACTCTGTAGTCATCCATGACTTTGACTTCTTCTGTCTCTCCCTAAAAGGTGGGATTACAGATGTGTGCTCCCATATCAGGTTTGTATAGTGCTTTGGATCAAATGGGTGCTTTGTTCATGCTAGGCGAATACTCTACAACTGAACCCATAACTCAAGGATAATACTTTTTAAAAAAATTTATTTATTTCTTATGTATACAACATTCTGCTTCCATGTATATCTGCACACCAGAAGAGGGCACCGAATCTCATAAGGGATGGTTGTGAGCCACCATGTGGTTGCTGGGAATTGAACTCAGGACCCCTGGAAGAGCAGTCGGTGATCTTAACCTCTGAGCCATCTCTCCAGCCCCCAAGGATAATACTTTTTAAACCACCACTCATGACCTGTTGTTTTCACACAAACTACTATGGAATGCGCACACTCTCCAACCTGTCCCCCATACACAAAATAGCTAAAAACAATACAATTTTAAAAATCATAATGGTTTAATTATAGGAAACAAAGCATTTTAATATTTCCTATCATCATTCTTCAGCATGTAAGTATCAAAATAGTATATCTTTGGATTATACAGTGTTAGAATGCTTGATTAAATGATTTACTGTTTGAGGGTCTGGAGATGTACAGTACTTGCTTATCATGTACAAATCCCTGTGTTTGTGTTCCTACACTGCACAAACTCAGTATTGTGGCATATGCCTGTAATTCTAGCACTCAAGGGGTAGAGGTAGAAGGATCAGGTGTTCCTTTACTACATAGCAAGTGGTAACTGAGCTTGGGCTACATGAGATCCTGAAAACATGTGTGGTTTGAGTTGTTGACTTGAGTTTCATTAAAAAAAGACTATTAAGAGGATTTTGGCTTGGAATTACCCACAATCTGAAACAGCCTTAAACATATGTATGATATTTTGTACTATACATTTATGTGAAGTGACATTCTTAGTATTGATTATAAAATCAAAATACTGAAAAACACTGAAGATGTTATTTTCTACGTAGGTAGAGTTTTCCTGTCTCGACTGCCTGTTCCCAAATAACTGGCAGCTATTTCCCAAATAACTGATTTGCAGACTTAAGATTACTTATAAATGCTTGACAAATAGCTCTGTCTTGTTACTATCTCCTACAACTTAACCAATTTCTATTAATCTTTGTGCTGCCTGAGGTTCCTGGCTTTTACTTCTATCCCATTTTGTGTGTCTGACATATTCTCCTTCTGGCTGGCGACTCCTCTGACTCTGCCCATCCTCATTCCATCATTCTCAGTTTGGCTTTCCTGCCTAACTGTATCCTGTTCTGCTATTGGTCAGTCAGCTTGTTTGTTAAACCAGTCACAGTGATACATATTCACACAGTATACAGAAGGATTATTCCACAACATTTCTACAATGTCAATATTCAGCCAAGATTTTAATTCTCTATATAAAAATAGTTAAGCACATCTATTTCATTAGTACTAAAAATTGCTTTCTTCTTTAATGCATGGTAAAATTATATGATACCAAAAGATATGGAATGCTTAATTCGCATATTTAATTCATATACATAATATACTCAAGGCCATGTAAACATTTCTTGAATGAAAAAATGGGTCAAATGGGTGGAGAAAGTGGGGCAAGGGAGATGGTCAGCAGGTAAAACCAATTACTGTGTAAGCCTGATGATCTAAGTTGGTAACTCTGGAACCCATGTAAAATTTGGACACAGTGGCACAGGTTTGTAATCCTTGCATTTGTATAGTAAAATGGGAGGCAGAGACAGGGAATATCCTAGAAACTTGTGAGCATGTAACTCACAAGCCATACACATCACTATACACGGTGTAATGATAAGAGAGACTCTTCTTTGAAACAAGTTAGAAAATGAAGGGAAGATTCAAAGGATAAAGAGAGGAAGGAAGGAAACAAGAAAGAAGAGAAAAGTTAAAAACAAACAACACAGGTGGAAGGCTAGAACCACTGTGGCATGAGCACCATCTCTTGCTTACTCACTCTCAGACATATCGTACATATCTGCAAAGATAAATATATTTTTAAAATAGTGGAAAAAATTTAATAAGTCCTGTCCTTATCATGTCTGGTGCCTGTAGTTTCAACAGGAAAATGAGGTAGGAGAATTACTGTGAGTTTGAGGTTAGCCTTGGCTATTGGCTGAGTTAGGGTTTCTATTGCTGCAATGAAACTCTTTATGACCAAAAGCAAGTTGAGGAGGAAAGGGGAGGAAAGGGTTTATTTGGCTTACACCACCATCATTGAAGGAACTCAAGACAGGAACTCAAACAGGGCAGGAACTTCGAGACAGGAGCTGATACAGAGGCCATGGAAGGTTGCTGTTTACTGGCTTGCTCACCATTGTTTGCTCAGCACTTTGTTTTTTGGTTTTTCAAGACAGATTCTTTGTGTAGCCCTGGATGTCCTGGAGCTCACTCTGTAGACCAGGCTGGTCTCAGACTCACAGAGATCCTCCTGCCTCTACCTCCCTAGTGCTGGGATTAAAGGCATGCGCCACCATTGCCTGGCTTCAGATCACTTTCTTATAGAACCTAAGACTACCATCCACAGTGTGTTGGGCCCTACCTCATCAGTCACTAATTAAAATGGCCTATATCTGGATCTTATGGAAGAGTTTTCTCAATTGAGATTCCCTCCTTTCAGATGACTCTGGCTTTTGTCAAGTTGACATAAAACTAGCCAGGACAACTACATAGTGAATTTCAGACTGGCTTGGGCTACAGAATGAGATCTGTGAGATCTTGTCTAAAAAAACAATAAGCAGCTCTGTCCTAACCTCCTAATGTTTTCACAGCCTACCATAGTGACCTAATTTTAACTTGAACAAACATATCCGTGGGGACCCTATGTCCAAATAAAGGTCAGATTCATGGGTACTGGGAGTTTGACTTTGAGCATATCTTTTTAGGAGGCATATTTTTAAGAGATGTATCCAACCCTGAATAAGTTATTGCAAAACTGTCTGCCAACCTACATGAAAAAATGTTTATTCATTCTTCCTAAAGCATTCTTACCATAAAACTTTTAGTTAATACAATGAAACATTGCCCATTTCCTTCCAGGCCTGTGAGTGTATGTGTACATATTGTGTACACATGTATTGTGTAAAATGTTTATTTGTTCTTCCTAAAGCATTCTTACCATATTTAGTTAATATAATGTTCTCTTGAACTTTCTCTCTCTCTCTCTCTCTCTCTCTCT